CTATTCTTCATCTTTTTCTGCCTTCACAGTCATTCACATGTCTGTAGGAACAACACTTTTCCCTCAAAGAAAAGCCTGTGCTAACTGGGCTTCAGGGACTATGGGTGTTGTAGTCCAACATACTTCAAAATCACTAGCATTCCTGCACAGTAGAGCAATTGATGTGCACAGGATTAATGTTCTGTGGTTCACACAACACTTAACCGGGTCAGTTCAATACTTAACAAAGATATTTGGTTAGCTTTATTTATTTTTCTGAGGTTTGGCTTGCAAATGTGGCCCATTGATTTAGCATATGATTCAACAAATAATATATTGCTTCAGGAACACGATTAAGCATCTTGTGCTTCTCCAAAAGGTTTTCTTCTCTGAAATGAAAGTGACTGAGTTAGAAAAATGAACACCAAGATATGTAGCGGCTGGTAGTCTTAGGAACACTATGGAGCAAGACATCTTTGCAGTAGTGTGTCTTATTTGTGAGGAAGTAGGTGTAGATTTGTGATCTGTGCAGATAAATGACATACGGTACATTCATTATGGAAGGATTTTCTTGCCTCTATAGCATTCCCAGCTAGAAAATATGACAGTCTATATTCTGAAGCTGGGTAAAAAGACTTTATGCACACTAGGGCTTCAAACGCTTTGACATGAAATCTCTACAGTTAGGTCTCGATTAGTGCTAATAATGAATCCCACACAATGAACCCACTATTCCAATTTGCAGTATTCAAAGTGATATTTCTGTGGAAAATAGGATAATTGGTTCCAGCTTGACGGAAATAGGCAACAACCATTTTTAAACATAATTTTTATATCTTTATTCATGAAATATGACAGTAAAAAATTAAAAGTATATACTGACAGCTTAAATTTAGGTTTTACAAAGTCATAGAGTACTTACGGAAAGCAAAATAAAAAATTATATTTATATATAGATGCTTAGAAAAAGATGGTTGCCCGGTCATATCCGCTATGTAGAAAGATGGGTAAACTGCAGATAAATCTTGGCAAACTTCGTACAAGAGCAACTGTAGGTCTTCCCACCAGAAATGAGGGGGAGCAGGAGGGAATGTGAAATAGTGAAGACCTGACGTAGGTTTAGCTGTCAGATTATGGGCTAAAAGCCAGGAGGTTTCCTCTTTCAGATTGTCCATGTATTAAAATACTGGTGTTTAGTAGGATGTCATCTCTCAAAACATAAACAGAGTATTTGTACGGACAGTACGGGAGAAATAATAGATCTGGCCAACCATTAGCAGGGTTGCTGAAAGAATGTGAGTGAAATTCTTTTGAGTGTTGCAGGAAAGATACAACATAGTTCCTAAAAAGGATATTCTCTGCATTTGCCTTCAGAAGGGGACTGCAGAGAGGAGGAGTGTCAAAAACTATAGTTGCTCGATTAGGCAGAAACTTTTGCAAATTCTTTAGATATTTAGATAGATAAAGATAGATTATTTAATAATCTCAGGTCACTTCTTATATTGCTCGTAAATCTCTTTTCTTGTTTTGTTTTTCTTACTTTTCTCTCTTGTTTCTGCTGGATTGTGTTTTTAAATATGTACTAAATAAATGACTAGAATTTAAAAAAAAAAAGAAGTTGAAATCAAGTGACTTCCTGCATCTCTACTCATGGCCTAGCAAGACCATTATAAACAAAGCGGCTTGCAGTGACCAGGCCTGTGGGCCACCGTGTGGTGGCAATTAAGAACTGCTCTCATAATACCCTTATGGATGTGTGCATCATATAAAATCTGCCCTGTTGAACTGTTCCCTTTGGGGTTTGGGCTGCTGTTTCTCCTCTGGATTTGTTTTTGAAATCTGCAGAAGAAATACAGCTGAACAGAGGTTTTAGTGGGGCTTGCTTTATCAGCTATACAAGAAAGCCAGGAGCTTCTCCCATTATCTGTTATTTTCAACCAGTAAAACTTCTTTCCCACTCTGTAATGGTATGTGAGAAAGACCTTGGGAGACAGGAGGAAGAGTCTAGACAAGTAGCATGTAAAAGACATCTCAGCCCACAGAAGGAAGGGAGGCATGGGAAGCATTTCAGAAGGGACTCCCCCCCCCCCAATTTTCTGGAGAATAGTAAAGGAGGGGAGAAATACTTTTCGACTTGCAAGGACATTTTTCATGTTAACACAGGGGTACAAAAAATACGGTGGGGTGCTGCATTCAGTCTGCCAAGATCCCTTCTCCTAGGGTCACCAGATATCTGAACAGGCAAAGGAGGACAGACAATTGGAAAGGAGGACAAATGGGGAGAAAAGGAGGTCACACTAACTGTTTCACTTTCTTGGCATCCGAAACAAAATATACAGTTAAAAACTGCAAAAAATGTACTTAGGCCTACCTGTATATGAAATTACCTTTTTCAGCATCAGAAAGACTGGTTTTTCAATTGCAGTATTTTTCCAGCCAATCTTTATTTTCAAGAATAGTTGCCAGCGATAGAATCGATGACGCACTTTTCCAATTTCACCTTAGAAACATATGGTACGTCATGTGATCTACAGACTCCAGTGTTCATAGATTTGAAGTCAATCGCTGGAATCAGGAAATAAATAATGTAAATCGAGGCTGTCGGGTCTGTCGACGGATGAGAGAAAGAACAGTTTACAAGGTCACAATGCACAAAGGTTTGAATGATTTTGTTGTGAAATCAGTCCAAAATAATAATAATTTTAAAAAAGACACTCAAAAAGCTGGACAATATTTGATTTTAATGCTACGCCTATGAGATGGAGGACATGAGGACACAAAGGAGGACATGTCCTTTTTTTGTGGGATGTCTGGTAACCCTGCTTCTGCAGCCTTCAGTACCCCCAGAATGAATGGCCTTTTGGAGTGGGGGGGATTAACAATTTCCACAGGCCTTAAAATGCCAAGCCCCCTCCAATATGACTCTGACTCTACTCACTTTTTTAGATCTACATTCTGCCTTTTCTCCAGAACTCAAGGTGGCTCACATGGAGATCTCCTTTAATTGAATCCCCACAAGAACAAGAACATCCTATGAGATTATTTAGACCTAAAATCATCCAGTGAGTTTGCAAGGCTGAGATTGGCAGTGGTGTCTGGGGTGTGTATGTATGTGTGTGTCAAAAAAAGTGAAGATGGACACCATGACTTCACAATTGAAGTCCCACCCCTTTTTCACATGGATTACTTTTTCACACACACACACACACACACACACACACACACAGATGTCCTTGGAGGGTGGGCTTGACCCTAGATCTCCCTTATCATAGTCCAACATCTTAACTACAGTACCACAACATGTGGGCTTTTTTAGAGCATGACCCTTGGCATCCCAGACCAAGCCCAATGTGGTTCCCATGCTGACAGAAGTTGTATACCCCTCTTTTAAACAATTAGAAACTAGAAAACCCACATGACCATCTTGTAAAATGGATAGAGCAGGGTTTCTCATCCTCAGCAACTTTAAGTTCTGTGGACTTCAACTCCCCATGGCTGGCCGGGGAATTCTGGAAGTTGAGGTCTATCCAACCTAAAGTTGATAAGGTTGAGAAACCCTGGTCCAACCACCTAGCACCTAGCACCCCAAGGATTTCTAAGGAGTTTTAACATGACTTTGTCTGTCAGGCTTGTATCTAACCCTAATCAACGTCTGATGCCCAAGGCAGCTTATTAAAGTTAAATCCTCACGCTGCCTCAAGAACCCAGTTTATCTGGATTGGTCTCTCCGTGTGTCAGCAAAAGGCCTGCCTACATAGAAGATCCAGATCAGTGTTTAAGGCACCTGACAGTTAGAGTCTCTTTCTCAGCCCTGGAAATTATATAGCCTCTTTTATGAATGGGGCACACCCTAGCTGATGGTGACACCCAGTGTCTTAAGATATGAGGTCTAAAAGTTTCTGATGATGCCTTTCATTTATTGGCTTCATAAAAGCAAATTTGAGTAACTATGTTACACAATAAGCTTCAGAGTAGAAATCTTGTCTAAAAAGCATTGCCCAGAATTCTTCTTTTTCTTCTTTGGTTAGGCTGATAAATAATAAATGCACTGTTGTTCATTCTTGCTACAATAAAATAATCATTTTCCACATACCACGCCCCCCCCCCCCACTTCACTGTGAGCACTAATAGCTGAGTTGCTGGGGACTCACTGAAACCTTTGAAAAGTCTAACGGCCCAAGAGTTAGCTTCTATTCACATTCCATTTTCCCCCAAGATACAAAAAGCACTGGCTGTACGAACACTCTCCACATATTTTGATTAATATCTGTAGCACAGGCCTGGAAGGAGATTCAGGCCATAAACTAGGAACGGTTCAGTTTGCTCAGCAGTTATTAAGGTGTTGATTTTTATGCAAACCAGCCCTCGCTCACCCGGTATTGGGATAAAAATTGCCTTAAGCTTTGGGTATTAAGAAGATAAAAGACAGGGGAACCCTCCCCAAAAATATTGAGTCACCTCCACGGATATTTTGTTTAAGGATGACGGCTCTAATAAAAATATAAACTTTTCTGCTCTGAAGGAGAGATAAGGAGAATATGAAATGGAGTAGCTAATGTTATATTCTTACAATGAAGTGTTTTTTGTTGTTGTTTTTACAGTCACTGCTTAATTAACTAATCATTGTTAAAAGAAGATTGTTTCCTTTCTATATAGGTACTTTGTCACATGTCCAACATAGGGCATGGCTAAGTATAAGAAAGAATAGGGGTGCCTGGATCTTTGACAGCTCCATGCAAGAGAGCTTTCCATAGATATTATTTCTGCAATAAGTTTGAAATTCTTCCTATTAGACAAGCATTTAAGGGGGAAGAGCTCCATATTTGTTTCAGTTATTTTGCACCTGGCATCATAGCAGCTTTTTCCAATTGGTGAGGCCCCTGGAAAAGCAGGTGTTGGTGGGAATTCCTCATCCTCTGCTCTCTAGTCAGCCAAAGTCCATAGGGCGGTGAAGGAGATAAGATTTCTCCCGTGGTGCCAGGTCTTCTCTACTGCAGGGCATTAACCCCATTGCAGTACAGAAGGATGGTGACACAACTGCAGTTCCAAGGAGAAATAATTCTGATTTGCCTCTTCGTACTTTGCCACAAGGTAAGAAAACAGAACCCTGGGGGCTGGATAATGTATACTTTGGGAGAAGTCTGTCAGAAGAATATTCCAAGTCATTGGTGGCTAGCCTTCTTTGCAAAGAAAAGTTAAAGCAACTGGATTTACTGTCAAAAATCAATGAAGACACAGACAGGTTTTCTGAAAGTTTGTGTGTCGAGCCACTGCATTGTGAAAGCCTCCTGTTGTGGCGATTGGGATCACCAAGTGGAAGAAATTGGCAGGAGGTTCAGGGTAGATGAAAGGAAATGCATCTTCACACAGCATGCAAAGAGTTGTGGAAGTTGTTGCTACAAGATATGGTGGTGGCTGCTATTTCAGATAGCTTGTAAAAGACCATCGAGGGCTGCAAAGCTATTCCCTCCCTTGAACGGCACTGACTGGGGAAAAGGTCAATTGTTTTAGAGGTGCCGTAAGTCAGGCCAAGCCGCTTTTAGCACCCAACTTAGATTTTTTTAAAACTGTTATCCACGGGGCCTTCTTAAGACTGACAGCATCCCTTAAGAAGGCCTCATCTGGGCACAGTTATAGATAGCATTATTCCAAGAGTGGGGGGTAATTTTTTCCCCCATTCTTACAATCAGTGTAAAAGAGACTGGAAAGAACTCTGATGCTGACACTTCCAAGAAATTCAGAATCCTGTTGGTATAAACCTGACAGGGAAGAAGAGAAGGATGAGGTCCTATCTGTGCTTTCTCATTAGGGGAGAGAAATCTTTATGCCAGGTCAGGAGCTGGCATAAAGTCCTTTGGGTGTATCTGGGGGCTGGGAGAGCATTGGATCTAAAGTTTCCTTCTCTTTCCTTCTGATGTTGAAGAAAACTGGTGTCCAAGGTATTCAATCTCCTGTTTTTCTTTATGAGATCTGAGTTCATAGGACCAAGGACAACCAAGATAATACAAAGACATGAGGACATGCCCCACGAGGATAGGCTGAAGGAACTTGGGATATTCAGTCTGGAGAAAAGACTAAGGGGAGACATGATAGCCGTGGTCAGGTAAAAAAATGGAAGCTACAGGGAAGTGGTCAAGAACTATTTGCCATGGCCACAGAAACTAGGGCCAGAAATAAAGGGTATAAGTTTCATGTATCTAGATTTTGTTTAAATATGAGATGAATTTCCAGACGGTAAGATCTGTCTAGTGGTGGAACAGTCTACCTCTGGAAATTGTGGGTTCTCCATTTCTGGAGATTTTAAAGAAGAGGCTGGACAGCCACTTCTCATGGATGGTTTGATTAGTTTTCCTTCATATTACTGAGAGTTGGACTCCAATTCCCCAATTTTATGATTCTAAGCCTTATTGCTGGAGTTAATATTTGTAAACATTGTTTTCTACCTTTTCCACAAAACATCCATGTGAATTTTGTGGGGGTGATATTTTTTCTTGGTTTTTTTTTTCTTGTTTTGCATTTTTGGATTTTTGAATGGTGGGGGTGCTTCAGATTTGTTGCCACTAGTGATAGCCTTGATTTTTGACAGACTTCGAAAAGTACTACAGCATATTGCTAATAGAAAGCTATAAGAGAGACATTATGTGTCAGCTGTCGGGCACTGGAAATATGAATTGCATGCCTGCCATCTATCTCTGCCTTATATCAGCAGGTAGGCCAAAGATCAGTAGTCTGATCAAGAATCTTATTGGGAAATCTCTGGATGACTAAAAATGGTGTCAAAAGGCTTCTGACCTTAATGTTCTTTACTTATAAAATTCTTTAGAAAGGACAGGCTGCCACCTTCTGGTTGGAAAGGGGAAAGCACATTACATGTATCTGAGACACTTTTATTTTATTCTTACTGGCTAGTAGAAACAATATTTGACTATTAAGCCCCAATATAATTTGTTGGCCACTGATCTTCCATTTAATCCATTAGACTGCTAGTGTGATTCTTTTGCACGCACGCGCACACACACCAGGCCTGAATTGTGAGCCACATGTTGTCTTTACATTGGTATATAATTAATATGATGGAACATTTCCAACCAAATTCAACTCTTCTCACTTACCATTTCCAATCTATAATGTGCATTTATCAAGCAGGGGAAAGTCTATTGTCTAGAGCTGAGCTGAAAAACATTCACTATGATGGCAGAACATTGTTCTTGGATTCCTTTTCCAAAGAGAAAAAATATATACTTTCAGTAAAAATCTCATGGTGCAGTTTCTGCATTATCTTAATTACAAGGTGGGTCAAGGTGAGTATTTCATCTTTCGTTATCTAGCCATCCCTCCAGAGGTCTGCAGCCTCCCTGGCTTACTGTATTCAGTTCAGTCCCAGAAGAAGACATCAGGAGGAAGGAGCATCCAGGGAAGCTCTGAGTGTCAGAGAGTGAATACTAGAAACAGCAACAGCAGCTTAAGAATAAAGGAAGCACCCTACAAATGAGACAGAAAAACAGAAGCCTTTTTTTGCAGGAGGAGAAACTGGTGGGGAACTGGGAGAACTAATTTCAACACCAATGCTCATTTCCAGTCATTCAGATTGCATCTCACTTCTTTCTAGGTTTCATCATTTAGGGATGAGTGCTGGGACTTCATGTAAGTTGTTGCTCCACCTGCTTTGGCTTTTCTCTAGTTCAGATCAGATCCAGGTGGTGGATGGACGAGCAGCCATCTGAGGCTGAGGAAAGAAAATAGTTCAATGCAAGATGATACCTAAACAAAACAGATATGGTGGGACTGTAAGGGTAAGAGGATTGCCCCATCTTATTCTATTCCTTTATTGTTCTCTGGTTTGATCTGCTCCGTTTTCTGCCTCTTGAGTTCCAGTTTAATTCAGAATTGATTTCCAAAATAGAAGATATACAGGTTACATCACATTTCAGTTCCTTCAATGCATTTTCCATATTTTCTTCCTCACTGTATCAGTGGCCCTTTTCAGCATTGTATGTATGTGGGGTGACCAGAACTCAGGTTTTCCCAGTCCAGTGGCTTAACCACTAGACCAAACTAGTATCCATAAATACAAAACTTGAAAATAGCAGAAGGACATAAGAACAAAACAGCAATCAAAATATTATAATAGTTTCTTTTTTAAAAGCCATATTAAAATGAGCAAACTAAAATTACTTCTCAAGTATTTTCCCAATTTCCAAAAGGTCAGCAAGGGGGAAACCGCAGACCAGGCATTATGATGGTGGCTTAATAGTTAAACTTCTGGTTCATCCAACCAGAAACATTTACCCTTAATGCAGGAAATCTCTGTCCTTGGTTGGTTTTATCTGTTTTTTTTTTTTTTTTAATAATGCCACCGATAATTGGTTTCTAGGGCAATCCTACATGGACTTTCAGAACTCCAATGTCAGAGTCTCTGAAGATCCATTGACTGTGTTGGTTGAGGATTATGGGAATTGAATTCCACTTTATCTAGACTAGTGTTTCTCATCTTCAGCAACTTTAAGATGTGTGGACTTCAACTCCCAGAATTCCCCAGACAGCATGGCTAGCTGGGGAATTCTGGGAGTTGAAGTCCACACATTTTAAAGTGGCCAAGTTTAAGAAACACTGGTCTAGACACTGGGAATCAGATTAGTAAAGGCTGCTCTGCACCAATGATGAAGTCAAGCAGTGGGTGGAAGAAACTTGTTTTAAACCTTCGTATCTCTTCTTTTCTAAGGTGTGTTACTGATATCAATCATATCTGCACCTGTCGACCGCCTCTGCCTAATTGGATTATGTACGTAATGGGCAAGTAGAATGTCTAACTAATATTTTCTGTGAGCATCTCTTGTGTAGGAGTGTGTGTGTGAATTTGACAGGATAAACTTTTGACTCAGATGCTGTCCTGTTGTGCCTGATAATTCACAATGTACAGTTGATTTGATTGATTCACTGCACTGGACGTGCATCCTGTTTTTCGGCACTGGGGCAACTGTAAAGCTACTAACCTGGGCTGAATAAATCTGGACAATCACTAGAGGGCAGCAAAGAAATCCTAAAAACTCTACATATTCACTAACATCTAGTTGTATAGGTGGTTGCAATCCAGGTCTAGTTGTCCTATGCAAAGATGGTGAAATTAGAAGCTCATCAATTAGAAGTACTTCTTCCTTCAATATTTATTTATTTGCTTGCTTGCTTAACTGGAATATTCTTTATAAGACTGCCAACATTTCAAAGAGGCTCACAGTATAACACCTCAGCTTTTATATTGGTATAACAAGTCCATAAACTGAGATCTGCTTTAAGAATAGCCCTATTTTTAAAACATCAGATCCCAAACTTAACTCAAAAGTAGCATATTCAATAAAAATGGTTCCATAATTTAACATTTATTTTAAAAACAACCCAAGGGGAGCCAATGATGCATTTCTTGTGAGAGAGTCCTTTAAGTCAACTCTATTGCAAATCCACTGTCAGAACTTCAGATACACTGTTCCAAAAATGAACTTTAATTTTTTTATTCTTGCCGTGGATTTTACAAAGGCAGGCTGGTAGTGAGGGAAGTGATATATGCTCTTTTTCCACCCCTGTCATTTTAGTCTTTCCCTAAATTAAAAACCAGTTGGGAGGTATATCAGAGAATCAGAATAGCTTTGGACTTTAGATATGTTGACTCCAACAACTTTCCTAGCCGCCCTGATAAATACTCCCTCTAACTGCATTTGAGTCTTGATGACTACATGGATGGCTTTATATAGTTGTCATAGCAACAGTACAGAAGTAGTTGCCATTGCCTTCTTCTGAAATATTTTTTCTACTGCCTAGCAGTCCTGTATTTCTTAGTGGTCACCCATCCAAGTGTGCACTGAAGTGGCATTCATTGTCATTGTCATTATCCTCCTCATTTGACTCTGCTAGATTTTTCAAGATCAGCCAAAGCCTACTAGATGCTGCCCCTGCTGGTCAATCCCAGCATGTCACCTTCCAATGTCACCAAGAATCACAGGTGTTGAAGACATGGCTTCTTCTCCAGAGTGGGAGCTGACTCATTCTCCAATGGGAGCCCTCCCAGGGACCGTGGGATTGCATTAATACCAACCCCCAACCCTCCTGCCAAATTCCTAGAATGTCAAGCCATCCCCTGAAAGACGGTCCATATCCCCTTTTTTTATGAAGAAATGTTGCCACCTGATGGGACCTTGGAGATGTGCCTTCTCAGTGGCCACCCCAGCCCTTTGGAACAGCCTCCCATCTGAGATTTGAGGGATCCCTACCCTTTTAGCCTTCCGGAGGGCTGTGAAGAGCTGACTCTTCCCCCAAGTATTGAGTTAAGATGGAGGTTGAACCGGGAAGCTGTTTGGCTGGTGCCTGGTGGGGGGAAGGGTACTTTTGTTTTTAGCTAGGTACAGCACATTTTTATGGATTGTTGTGAGCCACTTAGAATCATCACATGAGATAGGTGGCCACATAAGTCCAATAAATAAATAAATAAATAAATAAATAAATAAATAAATAAATACAATTTTCATGAAACTGAGGATGGGTGAGATTTGGGGCAAAGATGTGGCCAAGAGCTAGGAACTAATTGTGGGAAGCAAATGTTGAAAGCTGCAATTAGGGCAAAAAACTACTTCTCTACAGCACGTTTGGTCTCTTTGTGACCTGTGCATTTAAAATAAATGACCCAAAAGGACATGAGAGGGGTTTTTGGAGATCCAGGAGCTGAAGCTGGGGTCCTCAAAATAGCACCTGTAAGAACCAGAATGCCTACAGATACCTCCCTTTGAGCCTGCTGGGTGACTGGTATTTGTAGGAATTTATTTTATTTTATTATTTTATTTGTTGCCCATTGAAATGAAATGACTTTTCCTGGCTTACAGGGTCACCCAGTACATTAAAACAACTGCAATATAGTAGCAATAACATGAAAATAACATTTGAAACATATAACCAATGACATAAAAAGCAACGACAAGCATAATTCAAAATAACTAGATCGCAGTAATTACAACTCAAATGCTCTTCTGAATAACTCTGTTGTGAGCAATTACAACATGCTAATTTGGTGGGGGCTGACACGCCTCATGAGGAAGTTCAGGCGAGCCATGTATGAATGGGTGGTATTTCAGTCATGCAGTCAGGGATGCCATCTTGACTATTTTGACACACACACACATACACACACGCACTAACACATCTTGCAGATGCCTCAGCAGGCATAACAACAAAGAAACAGTCTCTATAAGCTTCATTCAAAGGGGAAGGTGATCATAGTGCAGCCCTCCACCCTGCAACATCAATTTTAGATACAACAACTTCTTTGCACCCTTTGGGCCTTCTTAGGAAAGAAGGGTGGCGGGTGGCGGCAGACCATTGTTTTGTTGACGCTGTGCTTGTTTGTTGAGTGAGAAGAAAACATACACGGGGTGGCAGAGGGTATCATAAAAGGCTGGAGAAAATCGTGGGGAGCCACCTTATGCATTTCCTTTGTGGTCATGGGGTGTTTTGTGATGTGCTGTGACAGCCATTTTGGGAATGGGCAGGTGTGCTATTCCCCCATAGCAGTCTTTTTCTGGGGGTGCCCACAACATGCTCTTAAGATTCCAGAGCCACCCCACCCCACCCCACCCCCACCTCCATTGGAGAGCTTGCATCGGTTTTCTTTGCCTCCCCAGACCTGTGATCTGTGTTGTTCCGCTGGCTATCATTCTCAGCTGTTTGATCAAGCTGTGCGTCTGCTACTGCAAGGAGAAGCAGGCAACCAGCCGTTCAGAGGAGTCAGCTGGGACTCAGTCCAGCCCACCTCCGTTCTTCGTATCTGCAGTGATCTCAGCTCCATCGGATCACGAATTCAGGGCGCCCCCTCCTTATAGTGAGGTAAGAACAGCCACCATGCTTCGGGCTCTCCAAAGATCTTTTTCCTGACTGAGAAGACCACGGCTCGTCTATCCCAGCATTGCCTCTGTTTCTCCCTGGCAACTGGTCTCTAACATCTCAGGCACTAAATCACCTTTTCCATAACCTCTTTCTTAAGTAGTTGAATTGGGGAGGTGACAACCTGAACATGGCCCCTTCTGCTAGGAAAGTGGAGATCAATTTAAATGCATCCAAGGATAAGATTCCAGTTAGTGAGGCACTGTTCTTATCCATCATGCTCCTTTTGTACAAGATCTGTTTAAAAACTCAGTAACAAACATCTGCATCTATTTGTTGTGTGCAACGTGAGTTAATATAACATATAAATCTCATTAGCCTAAACAGTTCCCTGGTGGATTTCTTCAATATAAATTCCCAGAAAGTCTTATTTTTAAAATTTCTGTGGTATATGCTTTTTTGTAAAATACATTTCCCTGATGTATTTTTAAAGTAAATTTCTATAACTTATTTTTAACATATACATACTCCTAATATGTGCTCTTTTTCTAGTGCAAACACCCTTAATATAAACTTTGTTGTGCACAGCTTTTCCAAAGAGGAGAAATTGTTCCAAACTGCTGCTGCTGATTTTTCTCTGACTCTTTCAGGCACACAGCCACACCCATTCCCCTTACATCAGTGTTGTCCAAACTTGGCCACTTTGAGTGGACTTCATCTCCCAGAATTCCCCAGCCAGCATGTCCACTCATCTTAAAGTGGCCAAGTTTTGGACAACACTGCCTTACATCTTTCCATTTGCCCATCTCTAAAAGGTTTCTCATTCTAAGTCAGAGGGATCTAATGCTTTGCAGAAAAAAGAGAGAGAGAGAGAAATTACTTTTGAAATGCTTTTTAAAGGATAAGATGATTTGTAATAAATTTTCCTGATTGGACTGATGTGTTCTTGTACTTGCTGAATTAAAAGACTACCAAACATTCTGCATGTAAATGGCCCATTTTGCATCGCATGATCTTCTCTCCAAGGGCTGCAGATTCAATGGAGCCTCATGCTTCTATTAAATCCTAAAGGATAACATGAGGAACTCATTCTAACAGTTGTTTAAGACTGGGAAGTGTGGACAGGCAGAGAAGCTTAAAAATGATGGAAGGTTGTGTTACAGAAGGCAGAACACTCTGCAACAATAAGGCCAGTTCAAAACACCACCAAGAGAAATTCAGAAGGAATTTCTTTGGCACATTAAGGAAAACCAAGAGCAAGCTTTTATAGAGGAAGAAACCCTTTGAGGAATTGCAAAGCAGATTTGGACATAGCATGAGAGCTCTGATGGTTTATTCAGGTGATAGCTATTCTGCAAAATGTTTGGCTAAAAGGTGGAGGACAATATATTGCAAGCAGATTAGTAAACAAAGGCGTTAGAATATCAGCTTTGTTCACTAGCATGATTCCAACAAGGCTGTGTCTGATCTTGTTCTTCTGACTAGTAGCATTCCATCAATGAGTGAAATTGTGTTGCAAAAGTTAATGGGTTCAGAATATTTCCAATAAGATAGCATTTCCCACAGCTATAATAGTAGCTATGACATGCCCAGGCAGTAAATAAGAAGCAGAAGAAATTACAAGGGGACTGAAGAGAAGCATTATTTAGACACAGCACCACTGAAATTCAACAGCAAATGAGAAAAGGATTCCAAGAGGAACACAAAACCATCAGGTGACAACATCTGGTTGATTATCTATCCCTCCTTTAGAATATGTCTTTCCCAGGTATGGTGTATCAGATATGTATGCTGAAGACTGTTCCAGGAAAAAAAGGCAATTCATTTTATACCATTTTCTCTAGATTGCATGGAAACCATATTGCTACCCACCTCCTATGGATGACCCACCTGCCTATGACAATATTGCCATGGATAGCTTCTCCCCTCCAGATGTCTCCATACCTTCTGGATTAGTGCCTAAGAGTAACTCAACAGCCTGAAGTTTCTGCTGTTGTTATCCTGGAATGCTCAGAAGTTTAACAGTTTTGACGGATCAGGTGACAGTTCAAGTATCTTCTCAATAATGTTTTTGTGATGCTTACATGCAAGACGTGATCGTTCCTGCCCTTCCTCCATTCCCCCATATCAGGTCATGTCTGTGAGCAGAGAATGTGTTAGACACAGCCAAATCTACATGAGTTCATATCCCAAACTGAGTTTTCTTGTGACTTACTCTTATGCTAAAGGGGTACTACAGGAATCCCTTGGAAGGCTTTGGTCATCCAAGTTATTGACGGGCAAATCTGAATTTCCCTCCTGGACACTGCCCTCCCTCTTCTTTGAAATTTCTTTGCTTAAAGACAGTTGGTTTTGCACCTTGGTCTAGTATCTTCTAAGATAGGTCTCACTCTTCTGTTTAATAAGCAGCCCAAAGAGTTTCCAATTATTCCTGGCTTAATTCTTTAATAAAAACATTTCTGTGGAAGTTGGAGTCATTTTAGGCTTTTTGTTTAGCTTGGAGTGTGGCTTCACACATCTGCCAGAACTCTTGGGCATAGATGCTTCCCTGGGTTTGAAGGAGATTAAGGAAAAGTTTTGGAAATGCTGGGAGGCTCTTCTTTTCCACAGGTGAAATTATAAAGCAAGATTTTCATATTTTTTATCTGAAAGTTATTAAATTACACAAGGGTGGTTGCTGTATCTACTTCTGAGGCTGATTTAATTTAATTTATTTGATTTAGGTGCCACCCGAGTCCTAAATTCTGGGAGGCTCACAATATAATAAAAAGAAAAAAGTACAATGCAGTTCAAAAACAAGCCAGCAAAAAACAAACACAAAAGCAGGTAAAAAATAAGATGGCAAATCTAACCAACAACAAAACTCATAAGGGGCTGCATTCACCCTAGCCCAAGGCCTGGGAGAAGAAGCCAGGTCTTTGTGGCCCTCTGGAATGCTATCAGGGTGGGAGACACCCAGATTTCAGGGGGAACCTCAGGTGCGGTGGCAGAGAAGGCACACTTCTGAAAGATGACGCTGTTTAACTGAAGGGACCTGAAGCGTACCAACCCTGATAGATTGTCCTCTCGTTGGGTTGGAAGTGCAGATTTCCATTGACCACATGGGATGTGCAGACAGTGGCCTTTCTTTCCCTTGTTTCTGATAATTAGAGCTATGCTGCCTCTGAAAATGGAGGCAACATCCATCTTGATTCCATCAAGTCCTGTTGGTAAGAGTTGATGCATTGATTTTGATGTTGCTATACTCTTTTAAAGTACTATCTAGCCTAATAGCCACCATGCTGCATATCATAGTTATTTGTGTTTGTATGTGTTGAGTGGATAAGTACTTTCTTTAATGTATTTGAGCCCTCTCCAGATCAGAGGAGAAAAACCTGCTATATACTGCCAAAATGCCACTCTTAGATTAAATGATGTAAAACTCTTTTAATCCCTGCTTATACTGTTCATCTCTTTGTATTAACTAAGAACTCCTTTGCATTTGTGGCTAATATATAGCTTGCCACTTATTGAGCTCTGCATAAGATCAGACAGCCATGCTTAGCTATGCTTAAAGTTTGGCTAGAAGCCTCCAGATCATAGACCATAACTGTTAAGCAGCTTCATCTCTGGTAGTGAATGCTTTCAAGATTAAATCAAGGTGGAATTACAGGAACATCCCCTGGTTTATTAATTCGTGCTGCATTTATATTTTACATTCCTTCCAGAGAGCTTTAGGTAGACCTCTAATGTATGTTAGCAAAATATTTGAAAGGTGGATTATGCTGAGAGAGAATGACAGACTCAAGGCCACCACATCAGAGGGAAATCTAAACCTCTCAGTCTAACACTGTATCTCCAGGGAGAACAAACTGAGCCATTGTGGATATTACTAAACTATAACTCCCAACATCCCTCACTGGAGGCTACCAATACCTGAAAGCAGCATGGATTTTTAATCCCTGCCACTTCCCAATTGTTTCCAGTAGGAGAACTAGTAAAGTGGTTAAGGAGTTGGACAAGGACCTAAGAAACCTAGGTTCATAGAACCACAGGTTGGAAGCCACCTTGGGAATCTTCTAGCCCATCCCCCTGTCCACCATGGGGATCCTCAGACCATCCAGACAAATGGCTGTTCAATCTTTTCTTGAAAACCTCCAGTGATGGAGTGGCCACAGCTCCAGGCTATTCCATTGCTTAAAAGCTCAGGAAATTCCTTCTTATTCTGAGTTTGTATCTCCCTCTGTAAAGTGTTCACCCAGCTGTTCTTGTACTACTCTATGGAGCTATGGAGAGTAATCCACACTCTTCCCTGTTCCAATAGAAGAGAATATCTGTAGCTCAGGATTGAACTATGGAGTCCTTGGTGGTCTCTGAGCTTGGTTGTTTGCTTGCAGACATTTCATTACCCAATGAGGTAACATCATCAGTGCAGGTAATAAAATGTCTGCAAGCAAACAACCAAGCTCAGAAATCCCCAAGGACTCCACTCTTCCCTGTGACAGCCCATCAAGTATTGGAAGAATAGTATCATGCCTTTCCTTAGCCTTCTCATCTTTAGGCTAAACATGTCCAGTACTTTTAACATTCTTCACAGGATTTGCTTCCAAGCCCCTCACAATCTTTGTTATTTTTATCTGAATTCTTTCCAGTTCCTCAGTTTCCTTCTTTTATTGTGGTGACCAGAACTGGATGCAGTCTTCCAGGTGTGGTCTGGCCAGTGCCGTATAGAGGGGACGTATCATCTTCTATGATCTCAAGATGAAATGTCTATTAAAGCAGCTCAAAATTCTATTATCTCTTTTGGCAGTTGCAGCACTCTGTTGGCTCATGCTTAACCTGTAGTGTACCAGGATGCCCACATCCCACTCACAATTGTTCCTGCCAAATCAGTTTCCACCTATCTTGCACCTGTATAACTATTTTTCCAGACCCTACTTTCTCACCACTGAACTGTATGGGATAGGGTGCAGTGTTCCAGTCCAGATCCTTCTGATCCTTGAGCAATCCTCCTCAGCTTTGTATCACCTGCAGATCTGATGAGCTTCCTTTCTATCCCCTTGTTTTATATCATTTATGAAATTACATATTATTACCAATTAAATGGAAGACAGAGCAGTGAAAGGTCAGAAAACATATCCCTGGGAGAAACCATGTTTCTAATCTTTCACTTAATTTTTATTTTGCAACCTGATGCATTCTTCTTTATGGAGAATAGGGCCCTGATTTTGATTTCTGTTAATCTGTTTCTGGGCTGGTAGTACACAGCATCCCAAGATGACATCCACAGAACCCCAAACTAAATATTTGAAATTAAAATTAGAAATAGCTGAAATTTCGCAAGATGTGGCACTTCCGTGAGATTGACCTTTTCTGACATCCCCCTCCTGATCCCCAATCCCAATGTCCCTGTCTTGGGAATGGAAAAAGAGAAAAGGAGGGAGGAGATTACTACCCTAGGGTTTTAAAAGCTGACTTGTCACATGTCAGTTTCATCCCTGCTTGTTTCATCTTGATTCTGGAGGGGTTGCGGGGGGGGGGGGCGGGGGTGGCAAAAGCATCACTTTCTTTGTGGGGCCCGCAACAATAAGAAGTGGTGAGGTAAAGTTCCCTCCAAGGGAGATACGAAACCACGTCATCTTATCCATAATAACAAGAATACAACTTTGTGGCAGTTTCAGCTCCATTGCAGCTAGCCAGAAACACATTTCAACTCTACAGTGTGGCTGACAGTGTCTGGAACAACTTTCACACTAGCCTATATTTTCATGTGTTAGTGTCCTAAGTTTCAGTCTTAAACTTGCTAGCTGAAATATTTTTTTCTGCAAAACATGTGTTCTGCCACTGAGCAAGCTTTTCTCTCTTACCTTAGGGCTTTTTCAAATTATAGCCATCAACTACTTGTTTCCCACATATAAACTGGCTGATAATGAAGCCAGTTTAAAAAAATCCCTTTCTGGATATCAATTATTTCCTCCACTTGTCCACAGTGATGGCCAGCTGTTCTATCCAGACTGTGGTAAACAAAGTCCCTGATTGATGGATTCCCCTCCCACACATACCAGAAGAACAAATGCCAATTCTATGCCCTTTGGGGACTGGTGGGAAGAAAAAAAAAATGGCAGCAGCTTTATAGTTCTTCCAGTCACTTGGGCTAGCAGGGGAAACTTGGCAGAATGCTGTCAATGTCACCCAGTTAAAACAAAGAAATAGCCAGCCTTTCACCATTTGTAGAGACTTTGACGAAGATATGCAAGATCCTTCACTAAGAAGACAGGGGGTGAAACATATTTTAAGTCCACAACAGACAGATAATATTCAGAAGTGGCTCCCCAAATCACTGAACTATAAGAAGGAAGAGGAGGTAGAGTACAATCAGACTTACAAGATTCTGCTATTATAGCCAATCTCCACTGATTAGTTTTGGCTTTCCTGTGGAGTTGATTTCTTGGCCTCGTCTACCTGGTGGGGCTGACAGGAGGAAGAGCTGTAGCATAGACAATGGCCGGATAAACGAAATTTGAATCTGGAGGAGGGGGGATGGAGAAAGCATCTCAGAAGGGACCCTGCCTAGTTTTGGGGAGAGGAAATGTAAGGAACGGGAGGGGTACTTTCAGGCTTGCAAGATTCTGTTAATGTAACCTGACAATAAAGATAGAGCTAGTACTCCTGGTTGTGCTTCTAGTCTGGACTACCTTGAAGGGCTAACAGCCCATTCCAAACAGCACCTGCCTGCTGGAATAAGGTTCCCCCTCCCCAAGATTCAAACGGCCCCCACTTTAGTGGTGTTCCAAAGGGCTCTGAAGACTTGGCTCTTCATCTAAGCCTTCGGCGAGCGTGACTGAAAGCCCCCTTTTCTTCTTCTTTTTTGTTCCCATCTGGGTTTGTTATCTCTGCCCTTTTTGTTTTTGTGTGTGTGTTGTTTTCTTATATCCATGTTTGTAAGAATTTGTAAACTTCTCAGAGTCGCTGGGAGACTGGCAGCATATCCCTTTAATAATAAATACATAAATACATAAATAAGAACACGGCTAAAACTCAGTGCAACGTGACCTGTGCCTCAGTTAAAATAGTTCTGTAAACAAAATGGCTTTTACCAACACTGAGAAGCTATTATCATGGAAATGATCCTATACTTCTTCACATGTTTTTGTTGTTTCACTAACAAAATATAATAGTAATATTATAAAGAAACTGAGTGTTGGTGAAAGAAACCATACCGTAAGAAATCTAAAGTCCTCATACATAAACAAAACTAAGAAAACTCTGTAGACTTATGCTTAACTATCTCTTCCTGAAATAAAGAAATCGCAATGATCTACTTTGTCTTCATCTCTTTTATGCGTAATAAAGCCTGCTTGTTTTAGAAATCCTCATTACAGAATTCTGATTAATAAGTTCATATCAATTTCACTCACTAATGAAAAGTTAGGCACAGGCAGAGGCCTATCAGTAGTGGAGCTGAGTGGTGGGAATAGTTTGGGCGGGGGTGTGAAAACTGATTTTAAAAAAGTAGAGAAATCTGACACTCCCCCTGCTCTCTTGTTATTCCCCCCCCCCCCATTAGATGTGGGAAGACATCAGATTCAGAAAATTGCCCTTTGTCTCATCTTAGAATCCTGAGGTCCATTAACTATGGAATCAAATTAGTTATGGAATTCATAACTAATGCACTGAGTCACCCATTCAAACCCATGAGCACATATTGGAACAGCCAGAATGTATATGTGTAAACCTGCATCAAAGTATTACAGTTCAGAGGTGCTAATTGCCTAATTAAGGAATGAGAGGA